TCATCTCGATCGATCTATTAACGATTCGAAAACATATTTCAATTGTAAATGTTAACTGAACGATACAGTCCGTGTTATCATAACACGACCGGACCCTCTTTATATGGACTTTGATTATTTTCACAAGTAACTTTTAGAAACATAAACAAATGGTATACTGAGGACGAAAATAACTTTAAATAGTTATAAATATTTAGAGTAACTTAATTTAAAGTAGCAACCGTAGTTACTTCTTACTAATATTTTAAATGAAAAAGTTTGGTACGATGTTTGTAATTAAGCACCTTCGAAACTGAACGGATATACCGCATGAGTTTCTGACTCCGTTTGTTTATAAATTCCACACAAACAAAGCTGTGGACGATGGCTAGTATCTACAGTTGAAATTGGATAATCGAGAGTCCAAGGGACCACAATATTTTACTCTCTCATAGAAGTGTCTCTCTAACCACGAGTTTCTAGCTTATGGAGGTCGTCCATCGGGATCGGACAATGACTCTCACTTCTCGTTTATATCACAAGAACGTTTGAAAATCTCGTGAAAGTTGACAAAAATGTCAGACCACGTGAACAATTAAATGTGACATTTCTCTACGAAAGGACACTTGTATAGAATCCCTATTTTTTGTCCCAGTTGTGGGCAATATGAATCCGGTCCCACGCGCCGCAGCCATATTGGATTACATGACTGTGGGAGAAAGGATGTATTAACAACGAACCTATTGTTAATATCAAGTAAGGAGTTTACAAGTGGTATATGATCTCTTTGACGGGGTAATATTTAATACTAAAATTAGTATTATTAAAATCTATATATATATATATATAAAAGATATTCTTCTATTCTTTTATATAAAAGAAAGTCGTGTTAGTTACACTATTTATAACTCAAGAACGGCTTTACCGATATGGCTGAAAATCGGTAAGGAGATAGCTTAGAGCCAGGAGACGGATGTAGGATAATATTTTTTAATTTATGCAGTGAAGAGCTGCTTTTTATTTAACATATCTTATTAAGTTTTTTTATATAACCACGCGGACGGAGGTTGCGGGCGACAGCTAGTAATGTATAATTTCACAGTATTTTCTACGTCTTTTTCTGCGTTACGTGACTCTTTCCTCATTTAGCAGTATCTAATATACAGGTTATTCTAGACATTATCGTCGTATATTCTAAACTTTAACGTTGACAAAACTGACTATAAAGGTATATACTTTTATTTAAAAAATAAACACTTAAAGGGTACCTCTCATAAATGTTGAATAAATTAAAAGCAATAAAAAACGTGGCATTTAAAATTTATATAAAAAAATTATATATAAAAATCGTATAATAATGTTAATCCAATTTTTCAATTTAGTCACGCGTCTAACTTTAATATAAACAAACTTAAATATCATAAGATTGACGTATGCATACTCATGTTACAAAACAGGTTATGTTAAACCGTAAATCCATAGATAAGATAACTGGCTTATTTTACGATACATAAACCACACTGGCAGCTAAGCAAATCGATTTAGATCGAAACATTGTGTAGCGATGAAACATAAAAAAAATCACCGTATAAATCTATTGAATACAATTTATTAACCTCAAAACCTATATGTATAAGTTTGTTTGTGTGCCTGTTTATTAGTTTTTCAATTGAAATTAATTTAAATTTTTTCATCACTCCATCATATAAGGAAAAAGGTGAACTTAATTTAAAGTTTGGTCATTACAAAAATTTAGCTAAAAATCAACTTTGTTTTATTAATTATTAGATTAAATAATATACATGGTAGTTACTAACTCTTTTATTTAATTTATTACAAGATTATATAAATTTAGTAATGTTGAATCATTTTCTATAATTATAACCACAAAGGTCGGTTATGATGTGCGTTTTCAATTATTTAAATTATTCACCATTAAATTAAAAGAAGAAAAAATTAAAACAGTATTATAAAAGATAAATTATATAACTTCTTTTCATTGCAATAATCACTTCGGTGCATATATCCATCAGGAGTTACGCGGTAACACACATTAAAAAATTGCAGACGAGTTCATAACCTTCTTTTGAAGTCTGAAAAATAATTGGATATGGATAGAAGAATCCTATAATAATGGATACGGATAATGGAAAATTTTTCATCTTTACGAAAACACTTTTATCTGGAACGTTAAATGTAATTAATATGTGTTAATTGAAATAAATTTTGCTTAATGATTGTTTTCCATAATTAATAGTGTCTAGTTATTATATAAAATGTAAGTAATTAAAGCGAGAAATTTCTAATAATCAAACAAAATTAACAATAGGGTTTGATAATGTGACTTAAAAAATGTAGGCCAGTGTTTACAGTGTAAAAATATTGGAGATAAAACTACCAAATTGCAATAAATAAATATATTTTTTTAATAGGTATAGTCACACGTCCGAGTGACGTCAGTCAATGGTTAGTTAATAAGTCACAAATGTTTTTATCACAATATACGGTGGGTTTTCACTGCTTAAACACATGTATAAAAACATATAGTTTCCTGGTCAAAGACAATAACGGGGACTAACTTATTTTGTACATGTTTTGAAAGTCAAAACCCACTATGAATATTATAAAAAAACACGCGTAGTCAAGTACCTAAGTTCTTTACGCCCCCATATTTAGAAGTACTTGTGAGTCATACAGGATTCCCTGTTAAATATGAATAGCTCAATTCGCTGGATTTTGATGACGCATTGCTAACTAGGAAAAAAAAACTGTTGAAAACGTTAGCATTCCGATGAGCGTTATGAAAACACAATACTAACGTATTACGGTTAATGACCCCTGTGTGACCCACATTTTACAGCTAATATACAATTTACTCGATACTCAGATGTCATAAGATAATTTCATAACATTGGGTTTCTACTACCACTTAAACGTATCGTTGACAATATGATTTTGAACAAGTTTTTAATCGACTTCAAAAAGAAGGAGGTTATCAATTCTTCTGTATTTTTTTGTGTATTACCTCGTAACTCAGCCCCTGGTGTTAAATTTTTTTTGATCGAAAGGTTTTTACGGCAATGAAAACACACCGTATTATATTTAATCATGTAAAATAGTAATAGCTTAGAACGTAGTAGTATAAATATTTAATATGCAAATTGTATTTTGCAATATTATTTATGCGGCAATTAATCGGCAAATGACAACGTCAATGTAACATTAAAACGAAAGAATAAAACTCGTAGTGATGAATATGAAATATACATAATCTTACGAATATTATAAATGCGAATATTTAGATGGATGGATGTTTGTTTGAACGTATCTTTTGTACGTATGTTTTGAACGAAATTTGATACACATATAGAACATAGTCTGGAGAAACACATAGGCCACTAATAATGTTTTTATTTCATTCTGATAGGACGGAGTCACGGGCGAAAGCTAGTAAATATGTAACTAGCAGTCGCTCGCTTTTTCGTTCGCGTGGTATTAAATAAAAAGTAAATAAGCCTATTCACAATTCTAAACTGTAATCTTTCTTCTAAATTACATCCAAATCAGCTGTTTTGAAATAACGTAATATTCATCTATCCAACTAAAAACAACATATGTTTTTGTATTTTAAAAGATTTATTTTAAATTTATTTCAAATCGATTGTTGAAATAACAATATCGGCTTACTTAATGCAAAAAAAAAACTATAAATAAAAAACAACAATACTTTGTCGGAACTGAGCAAAAAACAATTTGAAATGGAAGAGAAATAATAAAAAAAAAACGTATTTTATCTGTCTCGAACAAGGCAAATAACCTACGGAGGTCAACCCAACCGTCCAGGTAGTAAAACGCGGGTTTAACACCAGCTGATTATTTTCAAACTATGAAATGGAATAATTTATACAACTTAAACGCCTTAAATACAGAGCTAGTTTTTATATTAAGACACAAAATTCATAGAAGAGCCTAAAGATTCTTTACAAGAACATTATTCTTTTGGAAGACACATAGTCTGAATGGCATTGTTTCATTTAATTTTTGAGGTTATAACTAAAAAAAGGCTTATCAGGTTACAAAGGGATTGTACGATTTCATATCTTTACTAGAAATTAAAGTCATGACTTCTACCGTATGTAATGTAATATTATTTTAAAGAATTCATTTAAAAACTGAAGTACCGATTTTTTATTTCGTTTTAAATGTAGAAAAATCTTTTTTCTTGGCATTTTTTACCAGTTTCTAAGACCAAAATCTCTGTAATCGTCATCCCTGTCATTATCTTTAATAAAACAGAGATAAAAATATGTTTTAAACGGAGATTTTCGTCTCATAAACCCACGGTTAGTAACATAAAATGCATGCACCTGTCACTTATTGCCCACAGATCTACACGTCAACTATAAATGTAAATAAAATATAAAATTAATTGTTGTAATAAACGACATGGTTAATAAATGTCTCACTTTCTTGGTGTTTAGTAAATCTTTGAAACAATAGACGATCTCAAACACGTGGTAATCAATGCACATGTGTTGTAGAGACGTGCTCTGAACGTGACAAATGTTTGATATTGCTATAGGTAACTAAGAATCTTATCTTGATCGTATTTTTTATAACATGCATTTCTTAATCTGTAGATTTCCAGCAAGAACAAAAAAACATCTCTATGGTACGATACCAAAAATCTCCAATATTAAAACTAAGCGTGGGACTCTTAGTCGCTTTAAACGCTTCCTTAATGGGCATATTTCATTAGGATCTTACTTAGCGACATATTAATGACCATGAGTTCGGATGTTACACTTAATATTAGATTTTTGGTACTATTAAGACCGAAAAAACGGAAGTTATTCTTGTCTCTACCAGCCCTGATTGGTTAAGGCTGTGGTTATTTATTACCGTTAAATCTAACCTTGTACGAACAAAAACCTGACAATGAAAGCTTGTTATTTCAAAACGTACATATATTTTAATGAATCAGGAAGTAAGTTAAAATAAAAATTCAAAATAATGCTTACCAATCCTTGAATTCTAGGAAACATTTTTCTGTTTACTAATAATTGCACAGAATCCACTAGAATCACAAAATGTTAGCACAATAAAACTTAAAGGCCACACAAATGACTGTATCACTAACACACACTTTGATGCATGGCGTAAACAAAACTAGTCGGAGTGCCGCAAGGCGCTAGCTTTGGCCCGCTACTTGCGTACGTGCGCACGAGTGAACGCGTTCGACGTATCTGACCATAAGGTATGAAGAAAGACTCGCTTACTCCACACAACGGTTTCAAACGGGTGATTCACATGTAGACTTTAAAGGGGGGAGTGTTGTCCCTTTATCTTTGTTATTTATCTTATAAATCTTTAATAAATTTGTAATATTTAATTAAAAAATACTTGTGATTTAGATAAAAATGATAATATTGTACGTATTACTTTAATTAGTTAGTTCATGTTATAATAAGATATTTTTGTAGTATTCGTATGTTCGCATATAAATTTAAAGGCAAACCAAGTAAAATAAATAAAATTGTAAATATGCGAACTGAAATTAATTATTAACTGAATGGAATTATGAGAAAACAACCATTAAAAGAGAAAAATCGCGTATAAAAGAATAAAAGAAACTATAATAGACATCCGAAAAACACATGACTTATCTACAAAAATAATTTTAAATCAATTCCCACAGTCATGACGTCTTTAAAACGGGTTGACCTATAAATTAAACACTAAAAAAATACGTCGCGACAAGGAAAAAATTATGAGAGTAAAAACATACAATCTCCGTTACTTCCGCGTCCTCTATTGTAATATATGTTATCATATTGTTTGATAATTGCTTTTTCGGGTGCACCATCTCTCTTATATAGTTCCTGTACCGAATCATGTCCATATACAGAAACGTTTAAAACCTCGCTACTGTTAATAAAATCCGACACTCTGCCGGTGTACTGGCGCAACACTAGTTTTACTAAAATGTCGACGTTTATGTCCCCTCACTAATCATTCCGACACTTGACTTTGTAACGAAAGCGCCATTCGCGCCAAAGATTGTAACTAATAATGTCTAAAACTACAATCTTACTTCTTACTAATATTATAAAGGCGAATGTTTAGATGGAAGGATGGATGGATTTGTGGAAGGCATCTCCGGAACGACTCAACGGATCTTGATGAAATTTGTCACAGAAGTATAACATAGTCTGGAAGAACACATAGGCTACTCATCAAGTTTTTTTAATTCCGCGCAAATGTAGTCGCGACAGGTAGTTTAGAATATGTTTTAGTTACGACTAAATCAGGTCCAATCTTCTTTTATAGTAGTCCACTTTCAAAGTTGTATTATTAGTTTTGGTGTGTACCCCGCTGTTTCTCACTCAACGTATTATTTTGCCATTGTTGTAAATACTCCGACCGCGTTTTCTGTGGAACTCATGAGATCTGGACCTCTTTGGGAACAATTGGTCTAAATTATTGGGACCATAATGTTTTAAATTTTCTATTTTACCACACATAGGGCAGGGAAAGAAGTGATAGGTACGTATGTACCATTCAGATCAGTAACAAAACTTTTATTATATTTATGACTACATAAATTTTACTAACGCTCAAAATTCTTATCAAGTCCTAACTAAAGAGAACGATTAACCAAACTGATAAGGTAATTAATATGAAATAATTTCCCATTGTATGTAATTGTGTATTTTGTGTACATATGTACTTGTCTAGTCATTAATAGCTTTGCCTCTGAACAACATTTTTATGTTCCGCGTTCTTTAGCAAAAAGTACGACTAAAAAGTCAAGTTTAAGAAACCCGAATTAGTGAATTTACAAGTTGGTGTAAATTTAAAAATTCAAATCTAGTTTGGTCGGGTTGTCAAAAACATCGAAGTAAAAATAATATACGATTAAAATCCATTTTAGCAATCTACAGGTGCTTATTAAAGCATTATAGATAATGGATAAAATAAAACAAATTTATTTTTAATCATTCCAAGTAAATAATTATCTACTTTAATACTATTACTAAGAAATAATTACAAACATTTATTTGAATGTCTTCGTTTGAAAAAGGCAACCATAACTGAATTCTATTATGGGTCAGCAGTCTGGTGACGTGGTGATATTTGGCGATATTTGCGTAGTTTCTATCAGCAGCTAAAAAATCAAACGAATCCATCGAGAGCTTGGTGATGCAAGTAAAAGATTACCCATGAGGTGGACTGACCAAATTAGAGCGGCTGTAGATGTCCCCCTACACCAATGTACTAAAAAGCGACTACGGAGGAGTGGCGCCTGGTGAAGCGGGTCACTGATATTTTATGACCAAGACCAGTCTCAACTGCAACGATGAAGAAGAAAAAATCAAATAGCTTTTTTTGAAAGTAAATCAAGATGTTTTTAAAATAAACATTCTCAATAATTTAATGACTAAAGTAAGCTAATAAAAGTTGGAATAATGAATCATTTGATCCATTAATTGGACGTTACTACGACTATTTAATTTAAAACACCTCTGATAACATCTTGAACTGTTGGACTCTTTTTTTGTTTTTGAAATACAGGTTATCACTCGTTTGCAAATATCATCAATATCTACCCATTTCGACGTTCATGATTGGCCCATATTTTGGTGAATAAAAACTCACCAAAATTAGAAGCAGTTTAACTTAATTTTGGAGTGATAACTACAAAATTAAATTCACCTTCACAGTTGAATATCAAATACATGACCCGTAAAGATTTATTACAAACAAGATTTTTTAAACATAAAAAATGTCAAGGACTTAAAATGATAAATAGAGTCTTAAGAGCATTTTTCATAAAACATTGTCTTCTTCCTAACTTTTTCTATTTTACATTTCAATACGATTAACATTTCCGGTTAATCCTTTTTGCTTGAAATCTCTTTTGTTTCATCGATTACTGATTTCACCGAAACTCTATTAAAAATCCTGGATCCTATAATTCCTTGCAATAGTGCTTTTGTGAAATACATTTAGCAGAGTCTAAATTTTATTTTAGTAATCCTTATTTTAAAATCTTCTTTTTATTATACAGCACGCTGTAATTTTGTTTACTGCCTTATTTTTATTATTATTTTTATGCTCAATCGATATATCGAGTAATCCATGATAACCTAAATTTAGAAGTATTATTCTGGCTTTAAGATTCGATTAGATTCTAAGATAGCATTATATTGAGGAAATACAATGTTATCAATATCTTTTAAATCTACATCGATATCACCGTCGATCTGATAACCTCGATTCTCCATTTTTTTATCTAGTTAAATAAGGGATAAGTAACAAATATGTAGACTCAATCGTGTTTTAATATTTTACCTTTTATTTTTTATAAATTTTTTATAGGCGCAGTTGACAGCATGTGACATTTCTGTTGTACGTTGACGAGTGTTGTCAGGGGTTCGTGACAGCTGGTGAAGATTGCTGTCAATTGTAGAACTTTATGACTCTTGTCACGAAAAACATAAATAAGAATGAAATTAATAATGCACACTAAAAGTGAACTATTCTTTAGACTTCAAACATTTTTGTAATTTTTCAAGATATCTTTGTATTTGTATTTGGATTATTGAATTCAGCTTGTGTTCTAATTTTATTTTTAAAGGGGAACGAATTTAGTTATAAACATAAGAAGTAAGACTTCTCAGGATAATTTTATTAGTATTTATTCTTTTTAATATAAAGTGCAAAAAGTTATGTTTTTTGTATGTACGTGCTTGTATTATTATTATTTAAAACCATTGTTTTGTTTCGAACTGGTTTCTTAGTATTTTCGTGCGGTTTCCGATAACAATTCAAAGAGTATTTATGTTCATTTTTACCTCATTAATTATGTCATTTGTTGAACAGGACGCGATTGCATACATACGTCATCGCGTCAAGGTCTTTTATTTTTTTTTTTCGTTTCTTAAGGTAATTCTGACTGCTATTACGTCGAATTATAAAAAAAGTTTAAAAAAAAAACTGTTGTTTCATTTACTGATTTATTTAAACATATCATGGAATATTGAATTAATTCTTGTCTAGATTTACTTGTTTCACAAAATTCTTTTGTCTTCTTTGGAATCCCCCACATTTTTGTTGTTCATTAAGGAGACAAGTTTCTATTGTTTTATTCTGGGTTTTCCAAGCATCAACACGCAACTCTTTTGCTTCCTTGTGAATAAAGATACAGATTGATTTCATTAATCAGTGTTTCCTAAAATAATAGGGAATTATTCTATAACATTAAGGCAAAATATCTTGCTGATAGTGAACTGAAAAGTTGGAAACACAAATGAATCTAAATGGCAAACTGGTGATGTTTCATCAATTAACAGCTATATGATTTTTAATTTTAAATCATATTAGTCTTTTGTTTATCTAGATACTAGCTTTTGTCGGCGATTACGTCCGCGCAGAATAATAAAAACTTTACAAGTAGCCAATATGTTCTTCCAGACTATGTTCTACATCTATGCCAAATTTCAGCGTGATCCATTAAGCCGTTCTAAACATTCGCGTTTATAATATTACTAGTAAGATATTTAGTGCAAAGTTTAGTCGTTAGTTTAAATAAGAGAAAACAATTTATACATTTTATTACTACAGTCTTTTGTCTTCCAGTGAATTAGACATTGGTGTTGTATCTGTCTCGCAATAAACAATTCTAATGTTTTCAAACATACGACAGTATTTTATAATAAATAACATATCGTACGATATCCACATTAGAACAACGATAACCCGGTCATCAGTATTAAATCGTAAGCCATTAAGCCTTATCGTGTTCACTTATCGCGTATAACGATTCTGACGATAGTTTGCACCGAAACTGAACGCATACTTTGATGCAAACATGAAGAGGTCAGAACTAAATTATGTTTACACTATTTCATAATTTCAATTTTGACAATTATCTTACTTCTTACTATTTAATATTATAAACGCGAATGTTTAGATGGATGGATGGATAGATGGATGTTTGATCTCCAGAACGGCCTAAAGAATCTCGATGAAATTTGGCACACATATAGAGCAGAGTCTAGGAAAACTCCCAGACTCTGCACTATATTTACATAGGCTATTAAACTTAAGTAAACTTACTTGAATTGCATTTTTTATCTGTGCGGACGGAGTCGCGGTCGACAGCTAGTAAATTAATGAAATTGAGTTCATTAACGTTTTATGTGTTTTTTAAAGTTATAAAAAAACAATATAA